GTAGGAGCACAATACATGAAAGTGAGAGTCATAAATTATAATATTAGGAATTCAAATTCTTAGGATGCATGTTAAAAATTAAAGTGGACCGAGTTTAGTTGTCATAAAATTTGTCCATAAAATTATAATCTCAATTTCAAATGAATATCTCAATATAATAATCAAAATTTTGAAGTTCAATTTCAATTCTAACATTTAATTTCATTCTCAACTTTGTACACTAAACAGACATTTAAGATTTTAGTGTCAAAGACATGTTCAGATAGACTAATATCAACCATAAGCCTAAAAATGAAATATATGTTATTATTATATAAAAAATTATATACTACAAATTTTTTTTAAAAATTGAAAACTATTTCTAAAAAGTAAATGAAACATGCTCTTACTATTTAAAATGTTTTGGCCAGAATCATGTGATATTCATTACACTAGTAGTAGAAAATAGAATACTTAGGACTTGTTTAATTTAGTTTTGATTTTTAATTTTAAAATATATTTTAAAATTATTTTATAAAACTATTCTTAAGAAAAAATAAAAGTAATTTTTTTGTAATTTAGTTTTTAAAACTGTTTCAATTAAATTTTTATTAGTTTTAGGAAAAGAAATAGAAAAACAAAAATAAAAAAAACACCCTAATAGTAATTCTATTTTTAAGTTTTAAAAACTAAAAACTAAAAATCATAAATCATTTTTTAAAACAATTTTTAAAACTTATATTAATAAACAAGTTTTTCTATTTTTTATTTTAAAAACCAAAAACTATATTTAAAAAGAAAAAATATACGAGTCCTTATTATTTTTCTTCAACTATTACCTTAATGTTATTATCCACACATGGAAAAATAATTCTTTTATTAACTATATCCTCCTCATAATCCTTTTCATATAATAGAAAGGAGAAAAAGACTCAATTTAAACGTGGTATATTTGTATCAATTACTTTTTACCATTAATGTAATTTTATAATCTTATTTCAATAAAATGTTTATGCTTAAATTGCTAAATCAATTCATCGTCATGAGTTAATTTTTTCACATTGTAATTTTGTTATTTATGCTTTACATTTTATTTATTTTTTTATAACTTATATTTTAAAGAGAAAAGTTTTCTCTATCAATGTATCCAATTCCAAAGGAGATTCTCCATCCATATAGATCTACAAATTAAATACAAAAACAAATATGAATAAAAAAAAACAAAATTTATGTTTGTAATATATTTGCACCATAAGTAATAATAAACAAAATATGTACCTCATTGTTTTTCATTATCTACAACAAATTTGAAGCAGATGCTCTAAAAGAATCAGTAACAACCAAATCAAAGGAAGTGAAAGAAGTTGATCTTGTTTCATTAATAACACTGACTTGGATCTTAAACATATTTTCAATAAAAAAAAATTAATATAACATGTTAGAACAAAATCTTGCTAAAAAATATATTAACATTGAAATATACTTGTCCATCAATTTCCGATCCCATATTATCACAATCATCACAATAATACTGTTTTCCAACATTTGTTGCTTTTTTATAGCAATAGCTACATGACTTGTAATATTACTGGTCTTTGTACAAATCAATGTCTATAATCTTAACCATTACACTATACAAACATTTATGAGGAAGAACAAAAGAAAATTGCAAACTACTTAAAGGTGAATAAAATTTTACTTCAATGCATTTTATAAAATTTTGAAAGCAAATTAACTTAATATCTAAAATTGTTATTATTGGAGTCCACAACAAATCATCAGCTAAGGAATATGTTAATTAGTTGGTCATTTGACTTTGCATTTGAGTTAAAGACATTGTGTTGTCTTCAAGCCTATCATGTATTAAATAGGAAAGAATAAGTATAAAATTGGTATACACTTCTTCCCTTGTTAGAAATAGTATATGTCATACTTTTTCGTATTCAATATGTTCTTCCATTCTTGAATCGGTAGATAATTTTATTCCATTATATGCATTAAATACACTCATTTTTTCTATAAAATTTAACATAAAAATTACAGAATTAATATCTTTTTAATAAGTATAAAAATCACATACCATATTAAACTACATTAAAAGTCTTCAATTTGCATAATAACAATTGGGGTCATGCTTCTCATCAGATTGTGTGCCCGTGTGTGTAGAGACTTGATTTTAATTTTTCCAATCACTGATGTCATTAACTATCTTATTTTCTACAAAGAATGAGCTAGCTAATAATGAATTGTACACACAATTAAGAAGTATGCAAAGAGTTAAGTTGTTTTAAGTTTTAAAATGGGATGAATTTGCAATAAAGAATTGATTCAGCAATTATAATTTTATACACTCAATCAATGATAATTTTCTCCACCTCTTTGTTTCCAACAAGTAATAGTGGAAAAAATTATTAAGCAATTATTGTTTTTTATGATTCTTCATTTTTCAATAAGTAATTTACTACAAAACTTATTATATTAAAGAAAATGTATACATATGGTTGCAACATTGCGAAATTAATATTACAGTTGTGTTCCCAATTTAGGTGAAAAAATATACTTTTAGAATCATCTAACAAATACTTGACCTCGATCAAACTACCTTATTACCATTACTCTATCCAAATTTGTCATGAGTGAGAACATTCGTCAAGCTCAATATTAACAACAGTCATAGATATTATGTTGGTCATAAACTAATTGTTCACCTTAGTTAAATTGTTATAGACCCATCTTGCAATCCAATGTAACCTTAAACGCCAATTGTTATGTATTTTTCTACTAATTGACAACTCTTTCTTGACATATTGATAGCTAGCTTCATTAGACGTGTGTCATGAATACTATAATCACTAGATGCATTTTCGTACCTTAACAGTTATAACATCAAATGGAAAGACGACAAATCTGCTTTAGCTAACATACCTGTGTATACAAAATGAACCTTTTGACTTAAGTATATAATCTTATATTCTTTAACTAAATTTCTACTGACTTCAACACAAAAGTGTTCTTTGATGATGTGAGAAGAGAGAGAGAAACAGAAAGAGAAAAATAATTAGATTAGATTTATTTATAATTAATATTAATTATACTTACACTTTTATGTTATTACTTATTATATATATACTTATGAATCTTTAGATATAATAGTCTTCAAAACAAAGTAAAAAAAGTAAAAGAAAAGTAAGTGTGACTTCTCCATTAAAAAAAATCGTAACTGAACTTAAGGAATATTTAAGAGAATCTATAGAAAGTTTACTTGAGTTTATAAAAATAATTTACAATTTTTGTTAGTTTAATATAATTTATTAAACTAAATTTTTACTTATATTAATAAAATTTATAATTAAATTTAATGCATGTATAATTTTGATTTTTCTAGTCTTAATTGCTCATATTTAATTTTTTTAGTTTTTTAATACTTAAATTAAGTTTTTTTACTCTAAAAATTTATCCAATAACTAATAAATATATAATTGAAGTACAAATTTTTTTTTATTTATACAAATAAATGAATAAAATATTTAAATAAAAATAAAAAAATACAATAAAAGGGAAATAAATGACTTAATGTAAATATTTAAAAAATTAGAGAAAGTAGATATTAACAATTAAAATTAAAAAATAAAAATTTTAAATACATCAAAGTATAAAGATTAAAAGTGAAATTAAATCTTAAATTTATTATTTACAACATAATGTGATATGGATTTATGAAATACGAAAGTTTGAGAATCACGGAATATATGAATAAGACATGAAACACATTTTTGTAGCATACTTTAAAACCTGGGGAATGCGTAGTTCAGGAGCTCAATTCAATTCACGTGGTCTTGCGAACGTGCCGTAACATCAAAAGCATTTAACTATAGAAAGGAAAAATACAATTTGACCCTTCAGTTTTGTTTCGATATTTAATGTGAGAAAAGGCAAAGAAATTGAGAATGGAAAAGTTTTTAAATATATTTGTATATTATTTTTAATTAAAATTTAAGATTTATAAATGCTAAAAAAAAATTTAATCTCCTAAAATTTATAAAGAATAGATTATCGTATATTATATTTTTATATAGTAGGATTATGTGAAAATTTTGTATTTTTTTATTTTGGGATTAAAATATATATTATTTATATATTTAAAAAACATATTTAACTGATTATAATTTTTCTAAAAATATAAGAAACTAAACTTAATTTAAAAAAAACATATATTATATAACTCAATTTTATCTTTCAAATATAATTCTTAATTAATAAATAATTTTACTTTAATTTATATTTTTCATGTTATCTACATTCAAATAAAAAACTAAAGTATAAGCATTTTTATTATATGTAACTATATTTATTTATTTATTTATATATATATATAATATGTTTTTATATAATATATCAGTTTTTATAGATTCCTTAAAAATAATTTAATTATTATCTTTGAAATATGAAATTATATTATTACTCAACTTTAAAGACAATTTTATTACATGAATAGATTTTTCATTTTTTTTATTATGATATTAATAAATAGTTTTATTATATGTACTCAAATCCTTATTAATTAGTTTTTATAGTGTTTTTTAATTAATTATATTTTTAATCCATAAAAAAGAACAAATGAATTTTTACGTAAATTTTTTTAATATTTTACTAATTATAGTTACAATTTTTTAATTAAAATATCTCTTAAATAAAAGTTCTATCTATGATCTTCGACGTAAATATTTAAGTTTCTAACTTTTTAAGAAATCATAATTTTTTATTTGATATCTCATTTTAATTTTTTAAAAATAAGTTCATCAAAAAATATATTTTATTTATAATTAGAATATGCATTTAATTTGTATAGTCAATATTAGTTTATAAAACGTATAAACTAAAACGTGATAAAACATTTATAAAAAATAGTCTAAACTATAAGTATTATAATTTGTAAGAAAACTATAGCCTGATGAATAACTGAATATCTAATAATTAAATTTTATAATTTTTTAATCAATCCAAAATCAAACAAAGCCACATTAATACAAAATAACAAAGCAAAAGCACATGAAACTTAGGTAATGCCATGTTCAATCTTCCAAGGATCTTCCCAAACTTTTCCACTTGAATGCCAACTTTGATATTGTGCATGTGGAAGACCCATCTTTCATCATAGCACAAGCAGCCAACTTTTGTAGTTCTTTCATTCTCCCACGAATTTCTTCACGCTCTAACCCCTCCATAAGACGCTTTATGAGATTAGAAATTTCCTCTTTCACCACCAAACCATTGCCACTAGAATTAGCTTTTGGTCTCAAAGCAACTTTTAAGCCATCAGTTACCAAAGCCGCATTGGTTCTTTGTTCAGCAAATAGCGGCCAAGCAATCATTGGCACACCTTGAACAACGCTCTCCACAACCGAATTCCAACCACAATGACTTAGAAATGCACCAATTGACTTGTGACCAAGGACTTCAATTTGAGGAGCCCAACCAGACATGACCAAACCCTTCCCTTTTGTTCTCTCTAAGAATCCCAATGGTAAAAAGTGCAAAGGATCCTCCACCCCCTCACCATTGAAATAAGTAGCACTGGCTCTATCATTTGGTGCTCTCAAATTAACCCATAAAAACTTACGCTTACTCAATTCCAACCCCAAAGCAAGCTCATTGATTTGGTCTTGTGAGAGTGTGCCACCACTTCCAAATGACACATAAAGGACCGAGTTAGGTGGCTGCTTATCCAACCATAGTAAACACTCCCAACCATTTTTTGGATCACTAGGCCCACTTTGCGTAATGGGCCCAATTGGATATACAGGAGGATTACATCTACTTTCTTGTGATATTGCCCTTGTTGCATCAGGTTCCAATTCCATGAAACTATTTACTAACAAACCATCAACACAACGGTATTTTTGGCCACGTTTAAGAAACAATTTGTACTTCAAACTAGACCTTTCTTGAACACTATTTGGAAGATCTTTGCCATGAACAGGAATACAACCCGGAATCTCTATTAATTTGGGATGATCTCTATACTCACAAGAAACTTTTTCATCCAATTCTGAAGAGTGTAGGCATAGTGATAACAACATGATTGAACAAGGGAAGTATATGTAGGACAAGATGTTAAATTCCTTACCAAACTCTAGTGCTTCAATTGCCATGCCATCAGCAATAAGAGCAACCACTTTGGAGGAACCGCTACTATTGATGAGTGATGTCAATGCTTCACGCACCAAAGGCATGGATCGAGAAACTGAAAGCTGAATTTGGATTTCTATGGGAACCCCATTAACTTGTAGGTCCTCACAGTCCACTGGGGGGAGGAAAATGTAGTGAATGGTTGGAGGGAGGGAATCAAAGAAGGGTTTTGAAGCATTGGTGGGTGAACCAAAGGTGGGAATGATGCATGTGAAATGGAAGGTGTGTTCTTGGTGGAGATTGATGAGACGCTTGGCGAATTCAAGGATTGAAACTTGGTGGCTGAAAGCAGGGATGGAAACAAGGGCTATGTGAGTTCTTGCTGCCTCCATTTGAACCAACCACAGGCAAGAGATGCAAATGCTAGGGGCAAGAGAAGTGACAATTGTATACCAACACTTCTTGATAAAAAATGTTTTGATGCACTCTCTCAAATAAGTCTTGCCTTTTAATTAAAATTATAGTGCTCACTTTGACATTCATTTATATTATGATGATTATTAAAATAAAATTTTGATTTTAAATTAATAATAATAATAATAATACCTGAAGTGATAATAAAATATAAGTTAGGTATATTATTACACATGTTTGTTGATCTTTAATTAAAATTGATTTTTTATAAATTTACGCAATAAATATTGACATTAAAGATTGGTATACATTATTAAAGTAAAATTTTAATTAAAATTAAAATTAATATTAAATATATTTATAATATTGATACTAAATTTTATCCTAAAATAATACATGTAGCTTTTGTCTAAGAGCGTGTGTGTGTGTCAAAACTAATGAAATATTTGGTACAATTATAAAACCTCAAATATTATTTAATTTAATTAAAAAATATTTGGTACAATTAATTATTGAAATGAATAATAAATATAAAATAAAAAATAAAGCATCATTAATTGTTAGACCATATTTGGAAATTTAGTAAATATATGTTTTTAAATTTAGGAATATTTTTATTAAAGAAAATAGCATAATATAAATAATTTAATATCATCATTTCGATTATTTTTTTATTCAAAATCTCTCCAAACATTTTCAATTTTAATCATTTTAAAGTAATGAATGTTGTAATATTTCTTTTTTTATTTATGACATGTGTTTTATAAAGATATATTAAAATATTTTTAAAAGGTGTATTTTAAAATTTATAATATTTTTTAATTTTTATATAAATAAAATTTAAAATAAAAATTTTATCAAAAATAATTACCTTTTAAAATTTTAAATTTTTGTCAGTAAAAATTATTTTTAAATAATTTAAATGTAGTATGATCACGAAACAATAATGAAATTGGTTTAAAAAATTAAAAGTGACAAAAATAAATTAATATAAAAAGTTATTAAATAATAATATTAGTAAAATCACTTTTAACTAGCAAATAGAATTATAATTTTGAAAATACTAATTAAAATAACATTAAAAATACATATAATTATTTATTTTAATTATTTTATTAAAATATCAAACAAAATGTTTAACTAATAAAATAAATTTTTAATTAACTGAAAAATATTACCACAGTCACCTCAAGTTGCTGTCTTGGGCAGCGGTGCATTTATTCATTGTCATTGATGCTGCATTTGTGACTGTTTAATGCAATTGAAGGCTTGAGTTGGGGATACTATATAGGATGCATTGAAAAACGATGCAATAGTGTCACTAACGTTGCGTAATAGAAAATTAATTAATCATTTTTTAAAATTTATATAAGGATAATGATATCCATTTAAAAAACTTTTTTATTAAAATTATAATATTTTATATTTTATATATACATTAGATTTTATGATATCTTTTTATATATTAAAAAAAATAATTAAATTTATTATTTTTATCTTAATTATTTGGTTACAGCACTGGTCACTAGGTGAGGTTCAGTGTGGAATTTGAGTGAACTATTGTATTTGTAAGATACAAATTTAACATTTGCCGATTAGACTAATTTTTGTTGGCAATTATTCATAGGAATAAAAAAAATAGTTAATTTTATCAATGATATTAAAATTTTTAATAATTTAAATTATTTTTAAAAATTACTCTTAAAATTAAAATTTATTATCTTACTCTCTTTCTACATAATCAATTACTTTGTCTTCATTAAATATATTTTTGTAAAAATTTTATTAATATAACATAACTTAGAAAAGACCATAACAAATTTCATAAAATAGTCTTATATTTAGAATAAAGATAGTATTTTTCAACTTTATATTTTATTTTAAAGTATGCATAATATTAACAATTTTTCTAATGCATATTTATTAGTATATGATAAAAAATTAATAAATAATATTTTTTATTAAAAAATGTAATATTTAACATTATTTATACATCAAATTCAATGACATAATGCATATGATTTCTAATAAAAGTTTATTATACATGTATAAGTTCTTATTTTGTGTTACTGTGCACATGTTAAAAAAATTATAATATTAAATAATTGAATTAAGGTTGCATGAATGTTTGATCACACAAATATCGCAACAAAGGATATTTAAAAAAAAATCTCACTTATTGTAAAATAATCATAAGTAGTATTACATTTTAATCCTTAAAATTATAGTTACTCAACAATTTAATTTAAAAATTTATGAAAAATAATTTTTATTTTGTAAAATTATAAAAAAAAAATTAGTCTATCAAAATTTGGAAATTGATTAATTAATCCTCAAATTATATATTTTCATTATTTAGTTTTTAAAATTATAAAATATTTATTTTAATTATTTTATTAATTTTTGTCAAGTTCTGTGAATATGGTGTTAACACAACCGTCCATGTTATTAAATGATATTATTTCACTTTTATCAAAATAAAAAAAATTATTTTATTTTATTTTTTATAGACAAAACATATATTATTAGAGAGAGTTTAAGAGAAACTCAAAACTTATATACATAGAGAAAAAACTAATACTTACTCAGGAAAATAAAAAACAAAAACATACTTATACATAGCTAAGACGAATGCAATTTCGCGGGTTTAAATATCAATCAACTAACAAAATAGCTTCTCCCTTAGTAACAAGTGATAACAATTTCCAAGACTTCAGAATAATAGAATATAGGACTTCCCTCTCATCCAAAATATCATTGGAAAACACAATTTAATTTCTATGTAACCACAAAGACCACATTGTATTTACCCAAATAATTAATAAAAATATCCTTTTTCTTTTACCTCAACCAACACCAATCCAAGAAAGCAAGTGAGTCGATAAATTTGAAGGCAAAACCAGTGAAAATCCAAGCTAAAGTATCAGATATGAGATGAAATAGAGCATATTAAAAACAAATGAGTTGGAAGTTCCTCTAAACCATGACAGAAGCAACAGGTTATATTATTAATTTGAACACCACAATCAATTAACTAACCTTTACAAGGAAATGCATTCAACAACAATTGCTAAAAAATTACCATACACTGATCTACAATATTAGAACCACCAAAAAGTTCAAATAGTCATAAATACACAGATTGCACTGAATAACAACCAGAAGAATTTGTCCTCCATACCCATTTATCTTCTTGTAGTATCTTAATAGAAACTTCATCCACAAGCTCTAGTATAAGATTAAAGCTTGAGATCTCATGTTAAAAGAGTCTTCTTCGCCAACTAACATCTCAAACCCACCTAGTGCCATCATGAAAACTATTCTCCAATACATAAGATTCAACATTCCTCGCTACTGCAAACAATCGCGGAAATATCTCACACAATTACACCCCACCAACCCACTTATCTCTCTATAAAAGAGTGTGCAAACCTACACCCACACTCCTATCCAACTTCTCATCTAACCATGAATTCCCTTGATGAATAACCTCCAGCAAATCACGCCACCACAAAGAATATTTGTTGTGAACTGATGAACGCTAAATAGAATAAGCTAATCTGCCATACCTAACTTCCAACACTCGCACCCACAATGAACTAGAACAGTTAACACCTCGCCACAACTATTTACCAAGAAGTGCCTAATTAAACCAGTGCACATTCCTAATGCCCAAGCCATCATTCTTCCGCGGTCTACATACCGTTTTCCATTTCACCCAGGAGATTTTAGATTCATCCTTAACACCCTTCCATAAAAAATTCCGTTGGATAATGACAATCTCCTTTATTACCGACTTCGGTACCTTAAAAAAGGATAGCGAGTGCAATGGCATAGAATTAAGAATGGCATTAATCAAAGTCACCCTACCTCCAATCGATAAATACCTATGCTTCCATGACGCTAACCGCTTTTTAAGAGCCTCTAACACACCCTTCCATGCACTAGGCTTTCTCAGATTAACACCTAACTGTAACCCGAGATAATTTAATGGAAAACTACCAATCTTACAATGTAGGAACTCCGCAGCTAAGTTTTCAAAGTCATCACCAGTGTTAATCCTCAATACAAAAGATTTATAGAAGTTAATTTTCATACCTGACATTAATTCAAAGTTACGCAATAATGCTTTCAAAGTCCACAAATTCTGCACCGAAGCCTCTCCCATAATCAATGTGTCATCCGCAAACTGCAGCAAAAAAATATCTGGTCCCCCTACCCCTAATCTTCACACCAGAGAACAACTCACAAGTCACTGCCTTCCGCATAAGAACTCCTAACCCTTCCGCTGCCACAAGAAAAAGAAAAGGGGCAAGAGTCTAAATGTTGTTGTCTTAATTACACCTTTGTCAATTTGACTAAATTATAACCATTAAAGCTAATTTCTTCTATGGTCGAACTTCTATTTATGTACTCAATTTTTATAAGATTCATTTATCTTTATATCGTATATAAAAGATTATTCAAATTCTATTTTCGTATGTAATTATGAATAATACAACATGTTATTACTACGAGTCATTAACTATAAGATTTATATGGGGCATCAATTTCAAAATAGAAAATTAAATTTTTCAATATTGCAAAGCAATGCTCAATTATCATTTTTAAGAAAGAGTGTGAGTAGTTAAATAACTTTTTGGAACTCTCAAATTGACTGACTTGACATTATATTTTTATACATGATACATTTCTCCTTTGTAGGGGGAAGGAAACCTCCCATACATAGATAGCTAGATAATCAACAAGACAAAATAAACCTACATCAAATAGAATATATATTTATGACTATTTTTTTATCAATTAAAAATAGCTTTATTAAAATACAAGTACTCACCTTTAAACGACTATGAAAAATTTACATTTAGATTAGTAAGTTCATTTAAAAAAAAACTTTTGAATCATGTGCACTTTCTCTCTGTCCTTAATACACAAATGTAAATATCATATTCAAATCACAAACACAAATAACATTTGAATGTGTTTTTTAAATAAATAAAGTAACAAAAATGCTAGCAAAATAAATTAAAAAAAAT